CGCTGTTTTCCTCTTGGTCTTGGCAGCCCCTCAGGTCTCAAGCAGGAGCAGCTTCTGGCCATTGTTCTTGAGTGGTTAGCAGTTCACAAGGAAGTGATCTGTAGGCTAATGGCTGTTTCACTAGAAATCTTCACTGATAGTAAAAGGTGATGATTTTAAAATCGCCCTTAAGCCAAAGTGGACTTCTTTTTCCCCTGATAATCAAACTTACAACCTTGAACATTAGGCTAATTTTTTTTTTTTATTTTTTTTATTTTATTTTATTTCTTATCTTTCTATGGTGGTGTACTTCTGAAAACTCTCTACAGAATCTCTTGTTTTGTAAACCAAATGTAGGCATGACATAGGTTATGTGTGTATATGTATTACAAAAAATACATATATAAAGAAGAGGAAATGTTTTATTTTGATCTCATAACAATATTTGAACAGTAAGAATTTATCTTAAAAAAATTGTCAAAAATGAGGTGGGCTTTTAAATTATTTTTAAAATAAATGTCTAAGTGAATCCTGACTCTGAGAGTATTTTGGCTTCCTTCTTTCTTCTGTTTCCAAGACTGGATGTATAGCAAAGGTGATAGGAGCTTCCCAAACACTTTTAATATTCCCGAAATAATGCTTTGGCCTTGGGTAATGGTAAGCCTAAATAAAAGTTTTCAACTTTTCAACTAGTAGTGAAGTATTTGGAATCACTAATGGAATGATAATCCTTATGACCTTGGAATACTGTTTTCTGTTTTCCCAGTGAGGAGCTGAACACCTGTGTGAAGGCCCTTGCTCTGTCAGACCATTTCCTTTACCCACAACATCATTCCATTTGTCCTATTGTAGTCTTGTGGGGTAATGGGAAGGGGAGAGTACCACAAAATGGTGATTCTGATTTGGGGGTATAGAAAATCGAAAATGGTGACTGTTTTCCTGTCTGTTTTCTCTTTCCAGTCTCCATTTGGAATGCAAGCTGAATATGCGCATCCTCTGGAAACACTTATCCTTGGAACTGGCTTTTTTATTGGAATTGTTGTTTTCTGTAACCATGTGATTCTTCTGTGGGCATGGGTGATATGTCGCTTGATGGAAACCATTGACGTACACAGGTGAAATCCTTATTGCTTTTTAATAATTGTTTTTTGTCTTGTCCCTAAGTCTGTCTTAAATTAACCAGTCTATTTCACTGAGCTTTACTGTTTATTTTGCACTGAAATGCTTTTATGCATCTTATGAAGAATGACACTATCTGAACAGTTACACTGTCTTCTGTTTTGAGGTAGCATTGATAGCAAATACTGCTGACTAAAAGAGTGTGGACTGTAGCTAGAGCATGTTGAGGAGGGTTTCATAAGCTAGGTGTCTCATTAGGTTGTCTGGCTCTCGGATCTTTGGTGTGCAAGTGGCCCTGTGCATATTAGAACACCAAAAATCAATTACAAAATATGATATTCCAGCCATGAGTTCTTTCCATTTAATACTTTGGCAGCCAGTTTTTCTGGACAAGAGAAACTTCAGGCTATACAACTCCTGACTGTCTTTTAAAAGAAATAAATAAATAATTTTTATTTATTTATTTATGGTAGATACAAAGGGCAAGACTTCTTGTCTGTAGTATAACTGACTTTTTTCAAGTCTGGCTCTGAAATGCTAGCGCAAATCCCAATAGGCATAGTTGGGTTCATCTGCAAATGAACGAGCTTTTCTTTCCTGTGTTCGAGGGGAAGGAGAAAGTCATAGTTAATTTTTGAAATGCTAGTATTACACTTGACCTTGTATCTGTAAACATATTATGAAGCATGTGGTGTTTTACTGTAAGCTGTCAGGTGTTTTAGTGGAACATGGGCTACTAACCAACTCATCGTATACATTATTGCTGGTTTAGTTATATACTCGTTGTAGACTGAGAAGTATAGGTTGTGACATATCATAAAGTAATTGGAGCAAAATAAAAATCTCCTTTGATGATTATCACTTTAGTTTGTTGTCCCCATGAGATCTTTATAACAAATTACCTTGTGTTGTCCCCACTAGGTGGTGGCAAGATGCTTTCCAGTACTACTAAGCAAGAGTTGAAATCCCACTAGAGCAGACTGCTCTGGTTTTAATATTACTTTAATCATATATTTTGAATTTTAAATATTTGAAGAACTTGCAGTAAGATGAAAATAAGACTAGGAACACTACAGTTGCATTTGATTTGAGAAGCTGTTTGAGCAGCTGAGTTGATGGTCATAGCTTGTCACAAAAAGATAGTGTTATTTCTTGTTCCTCCTTCGTAATGTCACTCTTGAGTCAGTTAAAGCTGCTAAGACAGCAGGTAGTCAGGGACTGTGATTTTTTAGGTGATTTGCTTAAATTTATGTAGCTTAATAAACTGAGCTGAAAAGTTCAGCAAGTGGCAAAGTTGTTGTGGGATAGTTTACAGAAGGATTTGGCTAGGATAGGGGGGATCTTGTTTTCCTATTAAGTCAGCATTACAGCAATTACCTCAGGGCCTTATAATAACAAAAAAAATCTTATTTTATAAAAACAACAAGCTAGCATCTACATTTTGTGGTTTATATCTGGGAAAAATCCTTACTATAGTTGCTTTTTTTATTTTTTTCCTTCCTCCCCCCGCTTCCCTGTAGTGGCTATGATGTTCCGCTGAACCCTCTTCACTTGGTGCCATTCTATGCTGGGGCCCGTTTTCATGATTTCCATCACATGAACTTTATCGGCAATTACGCGTCAACCTTCACGTGGTGGGACAGAATCTTTGGTACAGATTCTCAATTCATTGCCTATAAAGAAAAAGAGAAGAAACAACAACTTGTAACGAAGAAGAAGGCTAACTAAATTTCCAGCATAAAAATTCTGATGCTAATACTGGTAGTCAACTTTTGCTTTTCTGTAAAGCAAAATAGCGATTGGGTGTTAAGCATAAATCTTGTTCCTTGGCTACTAAGTGGTAGGGAAAAATGGCTAATTACACTGCAGTATGTCCCTAATGGGAATGCTTTCTATTTTATACGTAAGTACTGCATATATTTTAACTACAGATTTAAAGATGATGCAAAAAAACCTGAGATGACCTGTGTCTATCCATTTTTTTTGGGGAAAAAAAAATCAATTTTATCTTTAATGTTGCCCACTTTGGATCCAGGTAGACTTATATATGTACACTGAAATTGGACTTACTTTTTTAAAATATATATTCTTAAATTTGTAATATCAAATAGCAGAACATATTAACTGGTATCAGCACTGTATTATTTAAATATTGGGTAAAAGTTGCTTAAAACCAAAACATCTGTTAGTGGGAAGCTTGGACAGGCCATTTGCACACTGGATAATGCAAACTGTTAATAACAGAACACCGCAGAGACATTCCTGATCTAGATTTATTATGTTATTTCAGATTACAGGTAAAAAAGAATATACATTCTTATTTGAAGAAACTGGTTTTTGCTGCTCTTTTGAAGTTGGTCTGTCAGTGTACTTAGCATTTATATGACATTCTTCTCTGTATGTTGTAATTTGCTGAACTGACTTGTTGCTATATTTGCACTTGTGACTGATGAAATAAATGTGGTTTGGTTTGATGCATGTATTATACCTTTCACATGTTTTAATACAAAGTTGTGATAAAAACCATGTAGTGTCTTACTCTGTTCATCTCCTTAATGAAGAAGCATTATTTCTGGTAGTGTGGTCTACAACAGTTCCATCTGTAAACAACACAGACAGTAGTAAGAGATGGAAATGGAGAACATCTTGTAAATTCTGCTGATGTGGGTGTTGAAGGACTTGGATACCTAGCTACTCAGTGTAGCGATAACTTTTGGGCCAAGTGCATTCTCAAGTTAAGCTACAGCTTTCACAAACTGGAATCTCAAAATCTACTACTTGAGTTGTACTTGTATGGAAGCAGTAGTCTAAAATTGTTGAATCTACTCTAAATATTTGTCTGTTGCACAGGAAATAACAGTGGAAGTATTTAAGAAGGGCTTAAACCCTACTAAAGGTCTTGCACTTTGTATTTGAATGTCAGCTGCTCCTCAGACTTAAAATACCGATTCATCTACCCTGTAAGTCCTTCAGAGATACTTACAGTCTTTTCCTTACTCCAGACCACCTGAATTTTTATGCCTCTTCACATGCAGTCTGGTAATACTCAAAACAGGCACTCCGGTGAAAGTGCAGATGAGATCAGGCTTCTACCAAAAAACCAAGGCGTTAATGATATTCAGAGTGGTTAAAATATTACCTGAGATGTGGGAGTGATTCAGATTCCTCTTCTGCATGTGTTTTGTAGAAGCTTTTACTTCTCCATCTGTATCCCTGTTAAAATCTGGTGTTCTTCCTTTTCCCATTCCCTCTAAATGAAGTAGAATACTTGACTGTGCCAGTTGAAAGGAAGCTGAAATCCCTGTATTGTTCAGTTTTTAGCAGAGACTGGTACTTAAGACCAGTCCTGAATCCACAGGCACTGCCAGCCTGAACTCTCCATGGTGGAAGCGACTTCTTTAATCAGATTTCAAAGATGGCCGTTATCCTCTTTGTCAACTCCCACTCTCATCTTGCAGCTGCAGCTATACTTAGCTTTATTTTACTGAACCCCTAGCCTAAAAGTCAAGGAGCTTTCAGTGTTTCAGATTTTCCCTGTATACATGATTCGCTGGTTCTCAGCCTGCTGGCTTGTGCCTATATGCGCACTGTCACAAAATTGAGTACAACTGCAAGCCAATTGCTTAAATACTCCAGTAAAAGCTTGGTGTCGCCTCACCTAGTGGAGAGTTCAATCAGAGCAGTAGAAGTTTGATAGGATGACTTACAACCTTACAACATGTATTCCATTCTTCAAGAGGTTTTGAGGATAAGAAACGTAATTTTAACACGTTACTTGTGCCATCTTTTTAGGTACAGTGTGCATGGGGGTGCTTTTTTGTTCTTTTTTCATGACTTGAATCCATATTTTTCTGACACCCATTGCTATTTCAGTTTTTTGGGCTATCTTGCATACATCCTTAGAGTAGAATGGGATCACATCATTGCTTTTGATCCTCTTTAACAAATCCCTAGAGAATTATGCAAGCTGTGCTTTCTAAATGTATTTTTTGCTGAAAAAATGTGCCCACTGGACCTCTCTCAACACAGGAACTTGCATTTGAAAACCACAGACTGGTTCTGCTGCAGGACTCCAATAGACCTGCATTTTACTACCACCCCAGCACCTTTTCAAACACAGAACCTTGTATTTATTACTGAACATGATGCTGGCTAGTAAATGACCTCACTACTATGTATCTTTTATGCATATTAAGAACTATGTAAGGTAATTACATTTATGAGGTTTTAGGCCTTTATTACATAAGGCTTCACTGATTTATTTTTTTTTTCCGTATTTAGTAAGAGAGACTACAGAGCACATGTAGTTCTGGAAACTAAGAGGTTTTTGTGCAATAGAAAAAAATGAGAGCAATGTACGGGTGACAGTTTTTGGCTCTTGACAAGGCACAACAAAACCATACACAGTCTGTTGTCTCTTATCTCCTTTAGCAAGAAGACAGATTTAACCCTTAAAAGTGGTAAGATAGGGCACTAGGTGGGGGAGCAACATTTTTCACAACTTAATCTTTTCCTTAAAGTCCAGTTCAGGTTAAGTAAGGCTGATCTGTGGGAAATAATAGCTTGTGCTGTTCCTTAGGTTATGACAATAAATAAGTCCTATGAAAGCAATGGATTAATTTCTTGGGTTTTGTGTCAAAAAACATGGAAACTTAAAAAGTACAATAAATTGTTAAGATTAGGATTGCAAAATAATCAACTGCTTTGGGCTGCTGATGTGAACTACTAAATGAGGAGGTTTATATTGCACTACAGCACAGCTTGCCAGAAAATATTAATAATGATTGATAATATGCTGATATTTGTAAATTATATGACTTTGTTTCTTTTCCTCACTGAGTTTATAATAAATGACTGCTGAGTGTTTGTAAAGAAAAGTGTGATATGTTTCTAGATTTTTAACATTAATTTTTGTTGAAAAATGGTATTATTGAAATCTGCATTATGGCTACAGATAGCTATTGCTAACGACAGTGTCTGGTTCATTGCCCGCAAATCTCCACCCCATAACTGCTGCTTCTCCCTCCCTGTCAGCTGCAGCCACCTGGTAAATCTCAGCCACTGAAGCCCATAACTGGTGGGTCCAGGGAGAAGGCAACTTTTTGCCATTGGTTCTTGCTCTAATTTTCTATCTGTGAAGGTAATAAACACAGCAGTCAAATTGCTTTTCAATTGTGTTTTTCACCAGCAAGCCAGATTATATCATGCCCTCTGCAGTAAGGCATTTCCTCTATTTCCTGAATCACTTTTGTGGCTTGTCTCTGAATTTTTGATGTCGTGTTTCAGCTGTAGGTATCAGAAGTGCGTGCCCAGATCATTCTCTCTAATACCACCAATGTCACGTCCTTCCTCTTAACCATTGTCCTTCTGCTTAAACATTCAAAGACAAAATTAGCTGTTCTGCAGCATTGCGCTGAAAAATACAGTCAAGTTACCCATCTATTGTCTCGATGCTTCTAGCCATACGGCTTGCCAGACCATTACCAGTGTGGCGTATATTTCTTGCTCCTAAGTGTAATTTGCAATTTGCTGCTCTGAAATATTTAAATGTGCTTGATTTACCAACTAATCTAAATCACATTCCAGAGCTGCTAAATCCTTATTATTCACCACTCTTTGTCATCTGTGAATTTTAATCAGGTTTGATTCATGTTTATGCAATCACTGAATAAATTAGTCCCCAGACTTAAAATACCAGTCCTGGTGGAAGGCCAGAAGAATGCTCCTGTTAGATGACGACTCACCACTTCTAAAAAAGCCCCACTGGACAGTTTTGCGGGCTCTCAAAATGGTCCTGCGTGGTGGTCTCTTGGTGTGGGTGTTTGGCAGTATAGCCATGCCACCCCTCAGAAACGGCATTGCAGTTCAGTGGGCAGGACCTAGCATTGCCCCAGGAGCAGCGATTACGCCTGCGGTCTGAAACAAGGGGCAGAAGTAAAGCCACTGCCATTTGTGTGGGTACGCAGTGTGTTCAGTGCATATGTCAGGTACGTTTTTTTATGAAATTTGAGTTGCAGTCTCTAAAGAGGTTGGTAATAGAAGCTTCTGTCTTGAAGATGAATCTTCAAGTCATCAGAGCTGCCAGGTATAGTGTATGTATATAACCAGCGTTCAGGTAAGTTTTGTGAAAGCTTCTTATGTCTCACAAGCTATCTCTACCTGCTTGCCTGGTAATTTGTCAACACTGAGATCAGCTGTTCTCTTTTTAAAATTGATTGGAACTATCCTATTCCTATCATTAATTTCTTAATTGAAACCATTATCAGCTGTTCTGTGGTTTGACCTGGTCTTTCAAGACATACATGGTTTATAGCTGCTCTTGCTGAAGAGTTGAGCTGTGCTAATACCCTGACTAGTCTTTCAGATTTTTTCCAAGGCTTGAAAATGCGACATAACTGAACATTAGCAGGCCAAAGATAGCCCTCCTCAGAGGGGGGCTTAAAGACCAACGAGTGATTTGGTCTTCCTAAGCTGAACACACCTCTCCCTTGCACATTATGTCCAGCATCGTACTTGCTTATTTGTACATTAGCAAACACCGTCCTCCTCATGCAGTATAGCGCACCCTCTCACTTCTTTCCAAATATAAACCAGAGAAGTTCACTATTTCCATGGTGTCATTATGAACAGTGCTTTGCTATTAATAATGTAAGTATCTGATCTCTGTTGTAGTGTTTTTAGGATTTCTCTTGTTCCTAATGTAGTTCCATTGTTTCTAATGGACATAGCTTTAGTGTTCTTGTTTTGGGTTCTGAAAGAAAATAGTTGCCTCAGCCTGCTTGTCTTGCCACACACATGAAAAAAGTGGAGAGTTACTCAAGTCTTGTAAGCAGAACTCTGTGAGTGTGAGGTTGGCTTTTCTTTTTTTTGGAAGATTTATTTACTTGCTGGTGAGTCATGAATTGCTGGAAAAGATTCAGGCAAGGCAAAAGTATTTGAAAATTTGAATCACATTCAGCAAATTGTTTTGGCCAAAATAATGGAATGATATGTAAATATATATGAATATTATATATATGTTTGTATATACAATTTGTCTATATTTTTTTTTCTAAATGTCAGTGACGTTTTCTTCACTGTTACCACATTATTTAGGCAGCATCTGTTAGCGAAATATAATCTACTATTTGGTGGCATATACAGACATAAGAGAGAGGTAAACCAGACTTGAAATCTGCTGATTGGGACATTTTCTGTACAGGGAGCACTTGAGCTCTATTCCCTGCTCTAATTAGTAGTATTAGCCTGCCAAGGCCATACCCAGGAGCCTGGTTATGCATATAGCCTGGCAATGCCCTTGGGGTTAGAGTGTTCCGCTCAGACTAAGGCAAGGGCAAAACCTTTTCCCATA